TGTTTTCTAAGAAAAGGCATATAATTGCTATTTACAAATGTTTCTTCCTTCGCCATTAATATATATTAACTATTGATGAAGCCAAATAGCAGGTTCACAAAAATCGATTTAATGTATTAAAATAAATGTTGCATATCTATAGATATGAGGCAGGTGTTCCTTCCAGTACTTTAAGCAAGACCGTATACACACTGGTCATTCGGTTTTATACGAGTCCCTGCGTGTATTACTTAATAACCTAAAATAAAATAGTAAATTTTGTCAATTTTCCGTTACCAAAAATGTCTTCTTATAAACTTTATTTTGATAGTAAAACTTAAAGTTATAGTATACAACAATATATTTTATAGTGCGTCTTTCTATGTTGTGATGTTACACTATTGTTTCAGATAAGGGTGAAGGTTTGGTACCATCAAAACGTTTAAACCCGCTGCAATTGTTTGCACCTGTCCTAAGTCATGAATCTGATGTTCAGTAGTTGTCGTTTATTGATGTGGTTCATAAGTGTTTCTCGTTTCTCGTTTTTTATATAGATTAGACCGTTAATTTTCCCGTTTGAATGGATTTACACTATTAATTTTTGGGGCCCTTTATAGTTTGCTGTTCGGTGTGAGCCAAGGCTCCGTGTTGAAGACCGTACTTTGACCTATAATGGTTTACTATTATAAATTTTGACTTGGATGGAGAGTTGTCTCATTGGCACTCATACCACATCTTCTTATATCTAAAAACAACATTGAAAACTGAAGACTGAGCAACACGAACCCCTAAAAATACCGGGAATCATCTAATGTGCTCCGGAAGGGGAAAGGGTAGGCAGACCCTGCACAAGATGCGACATTCGTCTTGTTACTCCTATAAATACGTTGATAAGTTATATCAAGTGATTAGGCTTCACACAATAGCGGATTGATAATTGACCCTTATCTAACGCTTAAGACATTACCAACTTAATAAACCATCGGTCTTGTAAATTTTCCATACCTGAAACCTGACCGTATGCGAAAATTGAAAAAAAGAAACACATTTTTCATGACAAAGGATGGACACGACTGCTAACCGTTATAAACAACACAGACATTAAGAATTAAAAAGCTTAAAGAACAACAGTTATAACAATAACAAAAGCAACACGAACCCCTTTTAAACAAAACTAGTGGTGATATGAGGTACTCCGGAGGGATTAGCAAATCCTGCTGCATATGTGACACCCGTCGTTTAGCTCATGTAAGTACAAACTTTGTAATAAGTGATGATGTGACATATGAGGAAAAATAATTGCTAATTTTAAAGGTGTTGATAGCAGTGCATGGAATAAGTCTACATAAGGCAAGACCCAAGACTGTGTTTGCAAAACACCTTATTTCTCAATGAAAATATTGGATTTACTAAGTAAAAAAATTAATTATGGTAGAATACTATCATGCAGAGTTTTGTTGATTTTAAACACTTTCAAAGACCCGAGTGATCGATTTTATAATTCAATTTTCAACGAAATCAATGAATTTATTTAATTTGTTATTGACAGGAAAAGAGTTAAAAAATGTTTAACCAATTATAAAAGAAATAAATGTTACAATTGTTAACATTTATTTTTCAATTACGAATAAGTCGCATTTTTCAACCATTAGTTCAGACCTTAAAGGCACCATTTATGAAGTACAAGTAAGTTTTATTTATTTTGTTTTACTTAAGAGTTAACTTGAGCTACTTTATCAACCACATTAACAAATGTAAGGTAGGTGACAATATTCTAATCTCTGAGGACGCGATATGTTATGAATTGTTCCCTTCTTACATGTGTCCGAATTGAATACTGTAGTACTCTTCTCTTTTTAACCAGTAATCTGATAAGTTAGCAATTTTGATCTTGCCGAAATCTGGGACATGGGGTGGCAAGTGCATGGTCTAAGTAGTTCATCTGCGAAAGCTCGGTGGTTCCCCTGTTTATCCGGCTTCCTCCACCAATAAAAACTGACCACCATGATATAGTTATATAGCCAAGAGTACTAAGAGTGTCATTTAACACCAACAATCAAAATATTTTACAGAAATGTCGCCAGTTATGTACCGTGTTTTGCACTGCAATTAGAAATACGGACGTTATTATTTAATATTTTAACCGACGTTAAATCATGCAATGGTTAGAGTTACAAGTCTAAAATTGTCTTTATTTTATTCTCGGTCAGTGCAAACAGCTTGTAATATAAATGATAGATGTTACTTAAACATGGTAATGTTAAAAGTATTAAAGAATAGTATGACGAAGAAAGCTTCCTTGGTGTCTTACTCCTACCCGTACATAGATTAAATGAGATTTTGGGTAAACCTCGAGATAAACACAAAAAACACTAACCGAAAAATACTTGACATTTGAATTTAAGAAAACATTAGCGACGTGACGTCGACAATTTCATATGTGTCGAAATTTGTATAACACTTTTTTTTTTCAAAAAGTAATGTTTAATAAATAAGCAATTCTTAAACTAGGAGTGTTTTCTCTCTTTTTGCTAATTTGAAATAAATAAAATAAAGATCGATATTGATTTTGCTGAAAATTCCTTTCTTTTTGTCACATATTATTGAGATTTACAACATACATAATCGTGTTAATGGCTTCTGTTGCTCTCTAATGTACGTTGTTCGCAAGATTTCTGTGGAAATGTACAATATAAACTTTCCTAATAGAATTCTAAGAATCTTTATTGACTGTTAATAACGTAAAATATAACTTTTTTTTTATTCCGTCACACCCGACGACCTTATTTATTTTGAAGATATTTTCTTATTAAATAAAGATTGTTTTCTCTGTTGCTTGGGCATGTTTATGTACATTTATTTGTCTTGCGATGGATTTTTGAATAAGCGATAGGGAAAGTAGTTTCTTCGATACAACCCATTGTTAGTGAATATATAACCGATGAATATATTCATATTTCGTTTCTTTTAAATTATGTCCTTAATCAACTGTTACCAAACTTTTTTTTTTACATTACTGGTGATTAAAAAAAAAACAGATGGCAGTGCAAAAAAACATTTTAAAGAATCTGATATTCGAAGTAAAATAGTGCAAGACAGAGAAATCTGAGACAACAACAAATCTCCAATTAACCGATTTTTCGGAATCTATATGACGGCTCTTAACTTTATTTGAAATGATCATGTACATTCTATACCAAATGTTGAAGTTTTGGATTCTCAATATAGTACATTTTTAGACGCGTAAGAGAATACAAATCAATCGTACGGAACCACCAAAACTGTCTAAGGTCAACATAGGACGGGGGGTGGGGGGGGGGGGACCTTCGTTAAAGCACAGTTAAATTGTTAGCAAAGAAAAAATATATATCCTGCATGCGCGGAGCACTGGGTTTTTATATTATACATTTCATATATGTTGTCGTGTATGTTTTTTGTAGTACTCACAATAAGTACAGGGAAGGTAGAAAATTAAAAATGCAGTTATAATGATAATAGTTAGCTAGAGATTTCAGTCAACATTCTATGAACTATTACCAATTTCTTTATATGAATAATGGTATATTCAAAATTCACCCAAGAGGCACGCTATGAATGATTTAATTAAACCGGATTCCCATAGATACATATATATATATATATATATATATATATATATATATATATATTATATATATATATAATTGTACGTATTTCCCCCAAGTATGACAAGAATACATTTGTATAAGAAGTTTATTCTTTTATATATAATAGTTAAAATAGCGATGTATATACTGAAATTACCGCTCGAAAGCAGCGTGATCTTTGTTATTACCTTTAGACATACCATTCAATCGGCCGAGTCATCATTAAATATACCTTGTAATAACAAATACTTGAAGATCTACGACAATAAATATGTTAATAAATAAGTGATTATAATGTCTGAAAATCTAATTTCTACGTACATAGTAGATCTAAATTAACCTTGCATTAAAATTTCATATTCTTAAAATACGTAATAATTGTGGTGATGCAACATTTAGCATCATGTAAAGGAAATGAATGTATATTTTAATTGGGACTGGAAGTCCTGAATCTTAAACAGCTAGATAAGGTAATATATATAATAGAAATGCGGATATACTAAGAAAATAAAAGTAAAAGTGCATTAGGAAAGTCATTTTACGGTATAAAGGATCATCTTTTTAAATGTATTTAAGATACCCTGACAACATTCATTTACCCTAAAAGTAGAATCAATAATAAACATCCATCAGATCATATCTTGGGAGCTATTAGTGACGGTGCTTGTATTCCAAACATTTGGTGCGTACCTGATAGTTCCAGATGCAACTAGAATAATATTTTTTTTACCATTTGGTCGGTAAACCGTTTGTGATCGAGGGTACCATTTGTCTTACAGTCAGGGCTTCGGTTCATGCAAGTTTCAATTATACATTTTAATTGTTCTATTTTATTTTCAGTTTATATTTTTTAATTGTTTTTATTGAGGACGCAACTCCCAAAGAGGAAGAGCATTCGAATAATTAGGTTGTTCCGATTAGTTTTTTTTATTTTGGTTTTGATTTTCAAAGACGTTATAATTATTGAGCTTCACTACTAAGTTGTGGACCTGCACATATTTGAAGCGTACTTAATCAGAAGTGTTTGAGGAACATGTATTGTCCGACCTTATTAAAACATGGCATCATGGTTTACGTCTAGAGTTATATTTTTTATAACGCTTGTATAACAAACGAAACAAAAGCTAGTTTGGTATGGATATAATTATATAGCTTATCTTTTTTGTAACACCCCAAATTTTAAATACTTCTTCTTTTTTATTGTTGTTTTTAAATTTTTATAATGTTCACTTTTCACTCTGATCCTTGACAAATGCTTTTATAATTTCGTGTAGGTAGTAATCTGGTCCGTATGTTTACAGCATCGATTTCACATAATACAAATTGACAAGATTACATGATGATTGCTATCGGAGCAATCGGAGTTTTTCAATATCTCCCAATGTCATCCGAAATGAACACATTGAGATGTTTGATGCGCAATGTGATCAGCACAGAAAGACGACAGGTAGATCGTTATCAAAGATTTGCCTGATAAAATCACATTGAGAAAAAACTATCAAAGAATTGCACAATGCAGTATGGATAATTACTGAAGTTTTAAACGCTTTTTATCTTAAGAGCTTTAATCTTTAAGACAACTGAAAGGAAAAAAATCAATTAGCGGTCGACGATTTTTTAGTAGCAGTTGGACTTATAAGATTTTATCATCGTCAGTTGCACCTAATTTGATATACTCTTGGGAAGTTAAAGTCCTCTTTGGAAGTTATAATCTTGCTCTAGGGCATTAAAGGTAGGTCGCAATTATTTTAGTATTTTGTTTCAGATATAAAAATGTAGTTTTAAAATATAAAACTTACCTAAATTACTCTCCTATTATATGGCTGTTAAAGTAAACAATTTTCGTAAATGATTTCTTATCTTTCACTTTGAACTTGAACTTTTAAACCTATTGTTTTTCTGTATTTCTGGTTGCAGTTTCAATGTTGTACAACCTACTTTTATTCATACGAAGTTCTGAACCTCTGATTTGGTATAGTTACAGTCAAGCACCTGTTATCTGATTTAAAGATTCATTAATCATACATATCCTTTCAAGTTAATAAAATGCAACCGAATGGACAAACTCTATGCTAACAGACAGTAGTTTCACAGAACAATTAGGAAATAAATTTAAGTTGTGTTCCGGGGATTGAATTATACTGATGTTATGGATATTAATTTGAACACAAATAGATGTTTTAATTTGCAAAGACAGGAGTAAAAATATACAGACACAATTACATGCAAACCATGGAGAAAGTTTAACAGACTAAAGACTTTATTGGGAATTCCCAAAAGTATACGAAAGATATTTTCAATAAAAAATGTCAACTGAGGTAAATTTAATAGTTCTAAACAAGCAAAACAATCTAGACTAATTTGACAAGTTTAATCCGTTGTAAATACATTTTCCCAAATGGCGACTTAAAGAGTTAATTAAAAAAATGTTTATATCAAATCGAGTCAGAAGAATTAGATGTAAATATATTTTTGTTTAACAATTCACTGTCTCGAAAGTATGACAAATCTGCTATTTTTTAAGTCCCTGAACTTTTATTCATTTGTTTTTTCCCTATTTAAACAGAATTGACATATACTCGTCATACATACATTAATCTGAAATTGAAGAGATAGAATTATACATATAAAATTAAAAATTAAGGTTGTACTTGATTAATTTGGTCCCTTTTGGTCATATAGGTCTTTATCAGTTTCTGTTCCTATACATGCTTGGCTTTCAAATATTCGACTTTGAATATATCTGATGAGGGTAAATCCAGAAAAACGCTTCGGACGCATAATACCTCTAAAGTGTTATTTTTAATTTGTTTGGGGGCAAGAAACAGGTAAGTTTGAACTTGTTTTACAGATTTCAGACATGTCAATTTCATAATCATCAAAATATATTTTGATAAAGGAAGCAATTTGTAAAATCATATCGCATTCTTTATTGTCAATCGAAATATTTATATTGTTGTGTGCAAAGTTGTACGAGTTGTGCAAAATTAATTTCAAACATGGTGAATTTGAAGGGTAGACACTTTTTACAACGCTTGTCTGTAGCTTTATAACTTTACCATTCAAAGTGCTTCACGTACACTATTTAATGGACAAATGAAAAAATAAACTCTCCGACAGTGTCGTGGTCCCTTAGAGGGGAGGGGTAATAGCATTTCTGTCGACTCGGAGTCAAAATTTTGTGCCTGAATGGGTTTATATGTCTTCAAGCCTTACGGTCTGGTACAAAGTAGCGTGTATTCATATTGCATTAACCGTTCAAAATATGAATGTCATTTTTATCGAAGGACGTTATTTAAACAGCCACCAATCAATCAGCAAATTAACACACTTCTGTTAATGTCAACTAATGCAGGATTCTTAAGTTCTATTTAACAGCACAAAAAGCATTCAAAAAATTATCAATAGTATGTTGTTTTTTTAAATCGTTTCAATTATTAATATATCATTTACTGGTATTTACTTTTTAAATCTACCTTGCTATTATTTAGCACCAAAAAGGTACTCATTAAATGTAACGTTTTTACATGATACTGCAAAATGTTTACCTTTTAAACGTATTTATATATTTTAACAGTATTTAAAAAAAAAATATATTACATGATCATATAAATGCAAAGTTACAGAATATTGGACTCCACCTAACGCACCATCTAACGCATTTTGACAATTATTCGAGATTGGTGGTCGAAACCAAATGTTGAAAATCCAAAATATCATAGAATGTAGAACAACAAAACAAAACAATTGTATATATAAAGACATATGTAACTTGATTGTACACTTCCTGTTAAAGGTCGCTAGTTATCCCCGGGCAGAGCTTACACAACCAATAGAAACTTACTTATTCGCCGTTTCTGCTTAATATACACAATTTTATTGTATGAAATGTTAGAAACAAATAAACCATTGTAGTGAAAAAACAAGTATTTGATGCGTTAAATAGCATGCAGCGATGTTTAGATTAACAGTGTAATTTGTAGATAACTATTATGTCTATGATAGTTCATTAAAGTATATATTGATACCATATAAGCTCTCTATATCTAAACTTATCAATTGAAAGGTTTGTGATCTACTCTAACACTCTATAAGGCATAACTTATGGAATTCTTAAAAGAGAGGAAAACAATAGAAATAAGTCATAACTCTTTTTAATTATGAACATGTAATTCCATTGTTTTGGTTACAGACTCAAAGAAAAAGAATTATCTTTTAACAACTGGGGCGCATATTAGTACCAATTAAATGAATGATTACGTCTGATAGTCTAACCACTCGCCCGACATCACCAAACTATAAGAAGTGCAACACGGCTAAAATGGCTAGATTGTACAAAAATGTCGTGGATGTCTTGAGTCCAACTTAGTCAATTTCTATGCCAATAGAAACATAAAATTGCCACTTAAAGTACATTTCTACATCTTATGATCTTACATCTCAAATTATAACAAGTGTACTACAGAAAGAACTTATTTCATGTTATATTAATACGTTGCTCATAAATTTATTGTTATTCTTATAAATGAGAAATAATGATTATTTTTAACGCCAGCTTTTTACGACCATTTTCTTTGACAAGAATCGTAAAATCAACTTCATCATTTCCTGTAGTGTATTATAAGTCAGGAAGAAAAACTGGCTGTTCTTTTGTTAACCACTACGAAATGGATCTCCATCGTAAATTAAAATAACATTTAATAATATCTTGATACAGAAACATCTGTTTGGAGTCGGTAAGAAAATTCAAGCACAGTGAGATTTAAGTTGCAGTGCTTCGGTATTGACATAATTTATAACAAACTTATTTAAATTTCCGCGTTTATGAGTAAAGAAATAATTAGGAAACTAAGTTTAATTCCACCTAGCAAAAGCTTTACCATAGACGAATTTAGCTATTTGTTTAATGTCCCTATTTGTCATAAAGCTGCTAGTGGTTTTACATTTTTGAACACCCCAGCTTTGTACTGTTTATTAGGTTGGAGAGTTCTTGATGGACGATAATCATAGAAAGGCGCTTTGAACGTACGAAGTTTTCTATGTTGTGTTTTGTGTACTGTTGTTTGTCTTTTTGTCTTTTTGTCGTTTTTCGTTAATTTTGTAATGGTATATTTCGCTTCTCTTTCAAAGTTTCATACCTAATTATAATCAAGACAGTCACGACAAGTGTTTATTTACCCTGTTATTTGATATTTCATCATAGCTCTCTCCCCTCAACCTGTCCAAAATTCCATTTTGTCGTCATTTTCAGCATAAGTATGAACCGAAATAAAATTTGCATGGTAATGTATCTAACTTCATTTCATTTTTAGTCTTTAAGCGTACCTCTCTCCCCTCAACCTGTCCAAAATTCCATTTTTTCGTCATTTTCAGCATCAGTATGAACCGAAATAAAATTTGCATGGTAATGTATATAACGTAATTTCATTTTTAGTCTTTAAGCGTAACCTCATCATCAGCAAGTTATAAGTTATTATAAAAAAAGAAGATGTGGTATGATTGCCAATAAGACAACTCTCCACAAGAGGCCAAATGATACCGAAATTAACAACTATAGGTCACCGTACGGCCTTCAACAATGAGCAAAGCCCACACCGCACAGTCAGCTATAAAAGGCCCCGAAATGACAAAGTAAAACAATTCATGCATGTTTTGAAAAAGTATGACCGTTTAAAATTTTGGAATAAACTTTGTCTGAAGTATAAACTAGTAAAACGAAATTCAATATTGGTTTACTGTCTATCGATACAGAATGGCATATTTTGCAATCTTTCTGATTTGTAATGGTATTCACTTTACGTGAAGTATAATTTAAGCGAACTTTACCATGATTGTGGAGAAATTATCAACTTTGGAACCGAAATTTTCGAAATTATCTAGAAATTCTGCTTACTCCTAAATAAAAAAATCGAATGCATGCTAGATTTTAAAAAATGACAAAACTACTGCAAGACTATATTGAAGAAAAAGTTGAGAAGATTGGTGATTGTTTTAGTTTGGATATTTGCTTTTTAATACCAAGGCTTTGAAATAGAACCTAACCATTGCTGTGTCTGGAATTAATCAGGCGCCACGTAGCATATATCTAGATAAACACTGCGATTTTATACGGACTCATTGCATACAGTTGCACATGCTTTAGTAATTAAAAAGCAATTTAATTAGGAGTTTCTGTCTTGTAAACTTGATTGAGGGGTATCATATAATAAATTATGCATATGCATCTGCAGATTTCAATTTGTTTTAATGTTTGCTGTTATGTGCAAGAAAATGAAGAAGAAACGTAACAGTGCAAATGAATTCAATGAACAGTCTTTTATCAATTTACTTTTTATTAAACGTGAAATTAATATTTTAAGTTGTTGGGCTAAGATGCGAAATCCATTTCAGGTAGGCGGTAGTAGTAAAATTTTGTTCATTTGGTCAGTCCTTATTGTTAACTTGGACATGCATGATGGCGCATATAGAAGCTCGGACATTTACAAATGTACACATGTTAGGTTCAATTCTGGTTCAATTTCGGGTTGGCAAGTTCTATTCATTCATCTAATCATTTATTTAAGGAAAAATCTATAGATTTCTTTTCTCATCACAGCAGCTTTAAACGTTAAGGCGACAGTAGTTTGCCGATGTTCAAATCTCGTAAACCGATTAGGAAGAGACAGATCAAGGTAACAAACATTAACTGAGGGAATTGCATGAACTCCAAAAGGAGCGAGAGCGGGTGCGTCG